GGGGGGGGGGGGGTTTCCCGGCCCTATCTGTAGGATTGAGGGTCCTCTCTGTTGCTCTGTTCGGGGACCCAACAGCACCTCCCTCATCCCCCAGGCCTGCCGCTTTGGGCACGTGCAGCACCTGGAACACCTGCTGTTCTATGGAGCTGACATGGGGGCTCAGAACGCCTCAGGAAACACAGCGCTGCACATCTGTGCCCTCTATAACCAGGTGTGACTACATGTGTATACGTGCATGTGCGTATACAGGTGCCCCGGTACAGTGCTTACGTGTGGATGCATGTTGGGTCCTGTGTGCTACTTCCTGAGTGCATGTCCTGTGTCCTGCTGTGAGCTGTGGCCTCGTAGGCCTATGTGTGCACATCTGTTCCCTAAACGAACAAGTCACATGTGTGAGTTGTGCACATTCGGGCTTTCTGGGTCAAGTAGACTTGTGTGTGTTGTGCGTACCTGATCTGCCAATGCCTATGCTATGCACATGTGCACGGGACGTGGAGGTGTGGGTGTATGTGCCCTGCACCCCCGTCTGTGCCCTGGTGTGTGTGCATGCTGTTGTATCCTGACCCCATCCCTCCAGCTGCTCAGTTGTGACCCCCCACTCCGACCCTCCCAACAGGAAAGCTGTGCTCGAGTCCTACTTTTCCGTGGAGCTAACAAGGATGTCCGCAATTACAATAGCCAGACAGCCTTCCAGGTACAAGAGTGATTTACAGGAACATGAGGCTGACCGCTGGGTGTCTGTCTCTGCGTGACTTGATCTCTCTGGGCCTTGGTTCTTCCCCTGTAAGGCAATAGCAGAGCTCTCACTCCAGGATTGGCCCAGGGTGAGGTAGAGGAAGAGGGTGGGCCAGTGCAGTGCCCAGTTCATGGTCGGGGGAGGGCTTCACTGTGGTTGGTTTCCTTGTCTTCCTTCCAGGGAGAGAGGAGGGTCATAGGGCTCTGGGGTCAGGGGAAAACCAGTGTGGGCTTGACCTGCCGGAAACAGGCCGGGTACAGAGGCCAAACCAGGGGTGAGAGGATTGGTTCCAGTCCCTGACTTAATTCAGGTGATGTTTCTGAGCCCCTTCTCCAGTTGAGTTTGGTTCTTGGCACTGGGATGACCACATGGGTGGGTCTCTGTATGACCTGGAGTTTGTGGGTGGGGGAGACTTTTGGACCATGGAGAGAGCTGGGATTCTCTTCTCAGCGAATGTGAGGGCCTTCAGAGGTCTTGTCAGAGATGTGAGGAGAAGAGGTAGGTCCTCCCTGGGGGCAGACGCAGTAGCAGAAGGGGGCAAGTCAGGGGGCAGACGCAGTAGCAGAAGAGCCTGGTAGGTTTGAAGGAGTCTGGAAGGGCCTGTTAGGTGACTAGATGCAGGGGTGGGGGAACGGAAGACGGAGGGTAGCAGGTGTGAGGCTATGGCTGACACTTGTGCGCTGGTGTGTGCGGAGGGGCTGTGACGAGGATCACTGGGGTGACCTGTAGGCCCGGACCGTCCTAGTTTTAGCTCTGAAAGTTTCATGTCCCAGGACACCTCTCAGTCCTAGGCAGAATAGGGTGGTGGGTTAGACAGGGGCCACAGTCTGAGCCTGGGGACCCCAACCAAGGAAGATCCCACACAGCAGCCCAGGCAGAATGCACAGGGGCCACAGGGGGCAGGTTTGGCATCCCTGAGCCCCCCTCGCCCTCCCTCCTCAGGTGGCCATCATCGCAGGGAACTTTGAGCTCGCAGAGGTCATCAAGACCCACAAAGACTCGGATGTTGGTGAGTTCTGCTCAACCCAGGTCCCTGTTGGATGTGGATTTGTGGGGGTTGTCGGGGCTCCTACAGGTACAGGGGTCAGTGGGGATGGTACAGGGGAGCCCTCCATACCCTGAACCTCTTCCTCCCGGCTCTACTTTGGTCAGTGGTCCTGAGGTGTGGGGACTGTGCTGAGGGAGGGGCCTGTGTAGAGTGGACAAAGGGTCTGAATAAGAGTCGAGAGTATGGTTAGGTTGGGGACACTGCTGGGTTTAGGGATCGATTTAGGTTGAGAGTGGGGTTGAAGTTAGGGTCAAGATTCTTCTCCTGTTAGGTCGTACAAAGGGCCAGCAGGGGACATGGGGCAGTGGATCTCAGTCATTGACCCTCAGTGTGTCATTGGTGCCTGGATTAAGAGGCAGTTTAAGTGGCCCATGGCGTGCTTCAATATGACAAGATCACGTAAAGAAAACAAAACACAGTGGTGGGGATGCGCTGAGTTCTGAACCAGTATGCCAAGGAGATCCCAGTATATGCCTGACTCATGGTCTCAGTAGGAAAACCAGGAGATGCCACCGGTGGCAGAAGTATGGGCAGAGCCATCACACTGGAGCCTCAGGGAGGTCCCCACCCACTCCCATGTGATGGGTGTGGAGCCGCTCTGGGACCTGTCCTTAGAATCCTGCCTGCTCTATCCTATGTGAAGTGGCTGGGGCTATGGGAGAGGGTAGGCCTCCCCTCTGGAAAGGCCACCCCTCCAGCTACCTGGCCACAGAGGGGCTCCCTTCTCAGCTCCCTTTGTCCTGGGTGGACCAGGTTTTCCCTCCCATGGTTCTCTGTGGAACACAGACTCCCAAGCTCCCCTTTTTGCGATGGGTGCAGTGTCCTCATTTAAAAAAAAAAAATTATAAGTGACGTTGGACAGCAAAGGGCTAGGGTTGGCCTTGGTTCTATTGTGAGGTTACAGTCGGGGCTGGGGTTGAATTTGGACTGGGGTTAAGATTAAGGTCAAATTCGTGTTTAAGAATTCTTCCTTCTGTAGTGTCTTCCCTGAAAAGACCTTCTCAAATGAGGCTTGGTTATGAGCCTGTCATGTCCCAGGCAGGCCAGGGGACCATGATGATGGACCAAGTCTCTAAGAGGGGAGGGGTGGACTCAGCAGCTGCAGAAGCTCAGTGCAGCGAGCATCAGTAGGCGCTTGTTGGAGAAACGGCTGGGCTGATGACGTGGTGGAGAATTTGGGTCCGGGTTCTGGTGGGCAGAGAACCCCGATGAGCTCTGAGGTTTGAATTAGGGACAAGAGACAGAGTGAGGGCTCAGTTATAGTCTGGCTGGGGCTGGTAAGTGTTTTGGAGGTAGTTGTTAGCCTGGGAGAACCGTGGTTTGTGGACATGGGGATCCTTTCATATTCTCGTGATTGACCATGGGAGAGCTACTAAGTAAGGCCTCTGTGCCTCAGTTTTTCTTAAGTAAAATATGGTTATTTGCATACCCTTCCTATCTCTGACCTCCTGTGGGATTTGATTCTGTGTGTCTGGACTCTGGCAGGTGGCCTTGGTCCATCTGACTAGAGGGAGGGGGGTGTCTGGTCCTGACCAAGAGAGAGGAAGGCTCCAGCTGCCTCTCATTTTCCTGATGTGGACAGAGATGCTAGGGTCCCTAGGGTCACCGTTATGATTTACTGTCTGGCTGGCCCAGAGTGCGATCACCTGCTTTGCGTTGGGCACACTGTTGCTGAGCTGATGTACAGAGCAGGCAGCCATACCTGTTAGTCCCTGTGTGGGCACTGGCTTTGCTGGCCACGTACCCTAACCTGCTCAGGCATCACAGGTATGCTCAAATGGCATAGCCGGATATCCTTGAGTTACAGGTAATATATCCATTAGTATTTACTATAAGCTTTGTTATCTTAGGCCACTCTCTCAACAACCCCTCAACAAGTGATTATTATTAGTCTGTTTTTACAGAGTTGGTTAAGGGCAGAACCTGTCTTTGTACCTGGGCAATCCAGGGGTTTGTCCTTGTCACTCCTACTCCCTCTGCACACCTTCACTCCAAGGACACTCCCTCAGTGACACTCACAAGTGGCCATGTCTCACCCCAGCTTGGGGACCCTGGGTGGGTCTGTGTACAGAAGAGCTGGAGGGAGGCTCTGCCTATCCACCCTTTTTCTTCCTCAGGAAAGGAGCCCTAGTGGAGGGTCTGGTAGGCTGGGTCCTGTTACCCTTCAAGGGACGCGACACATTGAAGCCTATTGGCAGGCCTCTAGCCCCTAGACTGATAGGTCTGGGAGCAGTCACCTCTGCCTCCTCACCTCTGTCACCTCAGGCCAACTGAGAGTCCACATTCTCCCCTCTATCTCTCCCATACATGCTTTCAAGGGCAGGTCTCACTGACTTGCTGTCCCATAGTGCCTGAAGGAAGTGCTTCTAATGCTATAGCCAGGAATCTCGTTAAATTTTTTTTTTTTAATGTTTATGTACTTTGAGAGACAGACACAGAAGCGGAGAGGGGCAGAGAGAGAGAGAGGGAGACACAGAATCTGATGGTGGGTGGGGGGAGGAAGTGGGGGGCTCTGAGCTGTCAGCACGGAGTCTGACACGGGGACGCAGGGCTCAAACTCGTGAACTGAGATCATGACCTGAGCCGAAGTCTGACGCTCAACTGACTGAGCCACCCAGGCACCCCACCAGGGATCTTGTTAAATGTACATTTTGACTCATTGGGTCTGGGCGGAGCCTCAGAGTCTGCATTTCCAATGAGTTTCAGCTCTGAGGTGAGGCTGAGGGTTTGTTGCCCACACTTTGGTAACGGGAGTCTAGAACAGGGCTTGGCCAATGAGACCTTGCAAGCTAAATTCAGCCCACAGTCTGCTTTTATGTTTGTTTGTTTTGTTTTTAAATTGAGGCTTTAAAATTGAGGATTTAAATTTCATTTAAAGTTGAATTCACACAACATAAAATTAATTATTTTAAGTGGAATTATTCAGTGGTATTTAATATGTTCACAGTGTTATACAACCAGATCTATTGAATTTCAAAACATTTTCATCACCCTGAAAAGGAAACCGAGTATACATTAATTATTCCACATTCTCTTCTCTTTTAGTCCCTGTCAACCTTTAACACACTCTCTGTCTTTACAGATTGACCTATTCTAGATATTTCATATAAATAGGATCATATAATATGTGACTCTTGGTTTTTGGCCTCTTTCACTTAGCTTGTTTTCAAGCTTCATCCATATTGTAGGATGTATCACTACTTCATTCTTTTTTATGGCTGAATAATATTCCATCATTTATATTTATAAAATTTTGTTAATCCATGCATCCTCCAGCAGGACACTTGGGTTGTTTGTACCTTTCAGCTATCATGAACATTGCTGCTGTGAACATGTGTGAAATATATTTGAATATCTGTTTTCAGTTATATGGGGGTATAAAGTTAGGAGGGAATTGCTGGGCCATATGATAATTCTATATTTAACTTTTTGAGAGACTACCAAATTGTTTTTCATCATTTTACGTCCCTACCAGCAACATATGAGAATTCCAAAGTCTTCAAATCTTTGCTAACACTTGTAATCGTCAGTTTTTTTTTTTTGTTTTTTTGTTTTTTAAATTATGGCCACTCTAGTCAGTGTGAAGTGGTATCTCATTGTGGTTTTGATTTGCATTTCCCTAATGGCTAGTGATGTCAAGCATCTTTTCATGTGTTTATTAGCCATTTGTACATTTTCTTTGGAGACTTGTCAAGTCCTTTGCTTATTTTTTAATTGCTCACAGAACAAGTTAGGAAGTTTTCTTTCCTCTTCTAGTTTTTGGAAGAGTTTGAGAAGGATGGGTGTCAATACTTCTTTAAGTGTTTGGTAGAATTCACCAGTGAAGCTGTTTGATGCTGGAATTTTCTTTGTTGCAAGATTAGTGATTGTGGATCCATCTCCTTGCTTGTTATAGGTCTGTTTAGATTTTCTACTTCTTGAGTCAGTTTTGGTAATCTCTGTTTTTCTAGAAATATGTTCATCTCATCTAAGTTATTTAATTTGTTGACATACAATTGTTCATAGTATTCTTTTTTAATCCTTTTTCATTCTGTAAGATCGGTAGCAGTGCCACAGTTTCACTTCTGATTTTAGTTGATTGTGTCCCTCTTCTCTTTTTTCTCTATGCCAGTCTAGCTATAGGTTTGTCAGTGTTGTGGATATTTTCAAAGAAACAACTTTTGTTTTCATTGATTCTCTCTATATTTCTGTTCTCTTTCTCATTTATCTTTGTCTATCCTTATATTTCCTTCCTCTGCTAGATTTGGGTTTTGTTTGCTCCTCTTTTTCTAGTTCCTTAAGATGTGCACTTAGGTTATTGATTTGAGACTTTTATCCTTTTTTGATATAGATGTCCACAGCTATGAATTTCCTTGTTGGCACGGCTTTTGCTGCATCCCAAAAGTTTTGATGTTTTATGTTTTTGCTTTCATTTTCTCAGAGTGTTTTCTAACTCTGAGTTTTCTAACTAAGAGTGTGTTGTTTAATTGTTACATATTTGTGAGTTTTTCCGTTTTTTTTTTTTTT